CCCCGCATGGCGCCCGCGCTCCCGGTCAGGCTCGTGGGAGATGGGGAAGTGAATGTGCAACAGCAAGTTCCTATGGTGGAGTCAAGGATGACTGCGGCCACTGAGGGTGCCCAGAGGGTGCAGAGATGAGAGGCCCAAGAAAGCCTGCCCCCACTCAATGAACGAACGAGGTAACACGTCAGCGGAGACCCAAGCTGAGGACAGGGCTCGTCAGGGGAAAGGAGTGAGGGAAGGTGCCAGGCAGAGGGAACAGCGTGTGCAAAGACCCGGAGGTGAGGGGGTTTGGGCTGTGGAGCATGAGGCCTGAAAGCAAAGACACAGTCAGCAGGTGGCAGCCCATGGGCGGACGTACCATGTAGTAATCATAGAGGAAGCTCAGGGCTGCGACGCTGTCATCGTCCCCGTTGACTCTCATCATGGCCTTCGTGGCGGCTGTCAAGGGGTTCTCCAGGTATGTCTTCCAGGCCTCATCCTCACTAGTGTACGGGAACTTCTGGAAGGTGACTGGGTCGTTCTTTAGCAGCCGCACAGACCTGAAACTAAAGACACGGAAGGACGGTCACATGTAGGCTGTCCCAGAGGAAGGCCTAGGAATGGGCGGCTTCCGGCCACTGTGCAGGAGCTGAGAGTTACCAGCCTTGGAAACCTGAGACTGCTGAGTCTGCCCCCATTAGGCCACGTGGGGCAGTGGGATGGAGATGAATTCGAGCCACAGCGACACCAGACGTGGCCACGTGGGCACTGTGGACCTGAGGCCTCGGCTCTCTCATCCGCAACATGAAGACCACAATCCCAACCTTGCAAGGCTAGAGTTCAGTGGAACGCTTCCACAGGAGGTCTTATTCAAGGGGAGTTAGTGTGACAAACACAGGAAATGACAGTGACATGCTGCGAAGAATAAACTTCCCAGATGGCTCCGTAGGAGTTCTTCCAATGAACTTGCCCTCACGTCTATGAAAGTTATGGAAGGCTGCAGATCATTCAGCGGTGGGGAGCCAGCAGGGGTAAATGACAGAGAAATCCAGGCCATCCTGAGGCAGGATAACATCTAGGACCAGCAGGTGGCATGGAAGTTAAAGAGGCTGGATCCTACATGGCTCACTCCACGGTTCGAGTCTCAGACATGGTGGAGTGGAAAACATGCTGGATGCGTGTGTGTGCGTGTGCATGCCCGAAGTCCTGAGAGGAGAATGGGAAAGGGCCTGGGGATCGTGGCATGGCCATCCCCTCTGGGGTGTGAGTTCCCAACTTCCCTCTCTCTGTCTGTCTGGCAAATGCACATGCCCTACAGCAAAAAAAGAACTCTCTCTCTCTTCTCTCTCTCTATATATATACATATGTGTGTGTGTGTGTGTGTGTGTGTGTGTATGTTTATATATGTTTTTTTCTCTTCTGTAATAAGCTTCGGTCATGTTTCCGGCCCTGAGCTAAGCATTTGTAATGAGCCAGAATCTCACTTAATTCTCACAACAACCCAAGAAGGCAGGTACTATTATTACTTCTATTTTATGACGGAGGAAAAGTGAAGCTCAGGAAAGCTGAGGGAGTTGCCCAAGGTCCCAGGAAGGGAGCAGCTAGAGGGGACTCGGCTCTGGTGGAGAGTGCTGTAGTTAGAACAGGGTTCTCTAACAGCTGCCTCAGGAAAGGAGAGCTTGTTAAAAGGGCTTGGTGGGGAACCAGCAGTTAGCGTAATGGCTGTGTCACTGGACTCACATGTAGTCGACCGCGGTTCGCGTCCTGGACCCGGTGGTTTAAAACTCACGCCAGGCGCATGTGCATGCGTGCCCAAGATCCAGAGAGGAGAATGGAGGAGAAGGGATTGTGGCATGACCATCCGCCCTGGGGGGTGATTTCTCGCTTTCTGTCTCTATGTCTCTCTCTGCCTGTCTGGTGAGCGCACGTGCCCTATAGTGAAAAACCTCTCAAAAAAAAAAAAAAAAAGGGCTTGGTGGGCCTTACTCCTGGAGTTTCTGCATTGTTAGGTCTGGGGTGGCTGAGAGTTTGCATTTCTTTATTCCCCTCCCCCATCTGGGTCACTTTAGTAAATGACATTAAATAATTTAACTACTATATAGCACTTGGATGGTGAATACACAGAAAGTATATTGTCATACTTGAATGCTTTTCTTTAAAAGCACAATTTTAGGACCAGTCAGTGGCACGCTGGTTAAGGCGGCGGAATCCCACACGGCCAACTGTGCAGTTCAAGTCCCAGATCAGACAGTATAAAAAACACACTGGGATGTGTGTGTGTACACACAAAATCCCAAGAGGAGAATGGGGGAGGAGGGATGCGGCATGCCATCCCCCAGAGGGGGTGCAGTCTCTCCTTCTCTCTTGGGCTCACATGAGTGCCTGTGTCCAATAGCAAAACTAAATAATAATAAATAAATAAAAATAGATAAATAAAAACACAATTCCAGACCGTATACATGCTGCAAAATGACCTTGAAGGAGGACACGACATCTGTTCTACAGCCCTTACAATGCTCAGCAAGAACCGGAAGGCAGCTGACAGAAGCAAAGGCGAGCCTTCACAGCTGTGTGACTTCAGCAGCCACAGCTGGATGACAACTGAAACGTCACCATGCGGCTGGGATGAAACATGAACCCCTTTCCTGGTGGTGCTGATCCGGCAGTCTGGGGAGCCGTTTTCAGAATCATCAAAATAGGGGACCAGCAGTTAGCATTGTCGCTGGACTACCATGTAGTTGACCGCGGTTCGAGTCCCGGACCCAGTGGCTTAAACTCACACAGGGTCCTGTGCGTGCATGCCCAAGAGCCTGAGAGAAGAAAGAAGAAGGGACTGCGGTGTGGCCATCCCCCCGGGGGGGTGATTTCTCACTTTCTGTCTCTCTGTCTCTGTCTTTCTGGCGAGCGCACGCGTCCTATAGCAAAAACCTCTCCAACAAAAGGAAAAAACAAAAACAAAAACAAAGAATCGTCGCAATAGCACACACTCTTCATCAAGAGCAGAGGCACGGGAAGAGGAAAGTTCTGGCTGTGTTCACTTTAGAGCCCAGAATGTGATGGACGGTTTAAGGAAGGGTGGGTTGTCAGGGCTGGGAAGAGGACCCCAGAGAGGAGGTGGGCACTGACCGATCTGGTGCCCCAGTCACCTCTCTATGAGCGCCTGATAGATGCCCACATTAGGGACATGGGAACACCAGCGGCTGTTCCCTGGAATGTCCATGAATGCTCTCTATTCACGAGCAGTGAAGTCACATTGCCTCATTTTACAGACGAGGAAACCGAGACTTGGAGCAGGTAAGAAAATCCAGCAAGTCCATGACACCACCAGGATCTGACCTCAGGCTTGTCTAGCGCCAAAGTCACTTTCCTTCCACTCTGCCACACTACTTGGCCATCATGCAAGAGATGCTCGTTACCGCAGCAGACACTGCTTTAGTCGTGGAATTCCAGGTGCTGTGGCAGGCTAGGGGTGAGCGAGGACCTTTGGAATTCACATCGCAGGAAGTGCCCTGCTGTCACCTCGCTGCTCAGGCCTGCACTCTCAGAGTAGGGACAGCAATGCGGGCCAGCCCTGGCCAGACAGCGGTGGCAACTCTCGCCAAGGCTTCATCCAGGGCAATGTCTCCCTGCCCACTGGGCCCCAGGGAAAGA